ATTCATGACTTATTTCTTTGTGAATGAGACTTTACTAAATAATGGTGTGTTATTCTATTTCAGACTGTTGATTCATGACTTATTTCTTTGTGAATGAGACTTTACTAAATAATGGTGTGTTATTCTATTTCAGACTGTTGATTCATGACTTATTTCTTTGTGAATGAGACTTTACTAAATAATGTTGTGTTATTCTATTTCAGACTGTTGACTAGTGGTTTGTCTCTTCTTCAAGGAGATATTCTACCTAGAAGTATTAGTAAGAGTGTCCTGAGAGAACGCATCTATTCAGCTGCTTTAGACTATTTCTGGTAAGTTTTATGCAATTAGCAAAACATTTAAACAAAAAAAAAATATTAAATTAAAAACCAGAATAATAACTATAAAATAGAACTCAGGCAGCTCTTTTTATCTTAAAATTATACTCTACACAGAAATATATTGTAATTTACATGAAGTATTTCAGCAATTCTATGACAGCACCCCACCCTCAACACATTCTGTATCCCTGGGACAACAGTAAGTAAATGCATCTAAGACATTTGTTGGACATGGTAATTACGGTGCTAAACTCAAAATCTGCAGGTGAGCTGTAGAGGCATTATAATGTGATGGTCAATCCCACTATTTGTTGGTAAAGAGTACTCCAAGAGTTGGTGGTGCGTGGTGTTTACTTGTTGTTTTCCCTTTAGTCTATCACTTCAAAATTAGGGAAGGCAAGTGTAGATAGCCCTCGAGTAGCTTTGCATGAAATCTAACAACAACAAAAAAGTTGCTTATATGAAAGAAACCATTTAATACTTACATTGACAGAATACAATTTAAAAAAAAGCTGTTTCTTTTTAATTTTTTATATTCTATTCTGAGGTGTTATTAGTTTAAAAAGTAAGCTGAAGTATTGATTAGATTTTTCCTTATCTCAATCAACAAAATTTGTATTGCCACTATTTTCTAAATGTTTTCTAGCATAAAAATGTTTAAGCATATCAAGCATAAATTAACTTCTGAAATTTGTTTCAAAATGAATATTACTATAATTTATGCATAAATGTAAACGTAACTAAATATTTTCGTTGTAAAAGTATTATTTGTTATAACAAATTTTTTTGAATTAACAAACCTTGAGCCCAGTCAGTACTTGTTATTGGCATTTTAATGATGTGATTACCCAAAATTCCTTTGTTTTTTCACAAGTATAGAAGAAACATTTGAAAGTAACACTGTTGAAAGGGATGCTATTATGTTGAAAATGAGTCGTTGCTCATTTTGTAAACTGAAAATTGATCTAAAAAACATGCCGAAAGTCGAATACCAGCAGTAATATTAACTTCGTTTCCACGTTGGTTCAGCCTAAACTATGGATAAAACATTTTCTTTTTAGAAGTTATCTAGCTTATTTCTCCTATTATTTCAAAGACAAAATCATCGTTCAGAAGAGTTCTATAAACTTTTTTTACTGTATTCAAAAAGAGTATAACCATACAAAACACTAGACAATGTAGGTTGCTCAGTGTGAGGCCATTGCTTTTATTGCCCATCTTTTGAACTTTTGAATTTCCATCTTTGTACATACAAATCTTTTTCTTCATTTTCCAAACATTAATCTTATATGACATCTGTAGCATTTTTTATCACTGTAATTATATATTTGAATGATCCAAGTTGTGTAATAGTGATCAGTACAAAGTTGTTTTTTATAGATATATTGAAATGACAATATAGACATACACACACACAATTAAAAGGAATACAAAATTAAAATAATTGCATAATAAATAATTTATTAAGAACAGGAACTAGCTCTAAAAAGGCTACATGTTTTGGTGCACTTACACTACTATCTTCATCTGAAGATGGTGGCATAAGAACACTGAAACATGTAGAGTCTTTTTAGGGCTAGTCCCCTTTTTAATAAATTATTTATTGTGCAATTATTTTAACATTGTACTCCTTGTAATTGAGTATATATATATATATATAT